GATAAATGATCAGAATTATAATATTTCTGACTGTCTGAGGCTAAATTGAATCAAATCAGGACTTTGAGAACCGGAATTGAATGGATTATAGAAATCAGTGATGATACTCAGCCCTAGTGAGCAGCCTAGGCCTGAGAGAAGTGGATGTAGCTGTGGGTAATAAGAAAAGATGAAAAGAACGATTGATAACTTTTTTGTTAAGTTAAGGCCTGATCTGTCTGAAATTCATAGCCAGTGCTCTGACACGGTGCCATCAATATTTGAATGCTGAAAAAGCACAGTGTATCCAGAAAACACATTATATGCTGCAATAAATGCACTGCCCAAGTGTCCCCTCTCCCCACGGCCTCTCAGCAGCAGACAACAGCAAACAGGTCGTCAGAGGAGGCCAAGATGATGATTAAGTTTAACATTTTCTACAATATTGACAAAGCACTTTAAGCACAAGTTTGTTAGTTAATAATTTAGAAATTAATATTGTCTGTATGGATTTCCCCCCCACCAAAGAAAGTGCACATGTAAAACTGCGGTGTTAAGCGATGCGGTTGAAAAATTTGAGTGCGCCTAACTTTTGTGCCGGCGCCCATGTCAAAAAGTTAGTCTAGAGCCCTGTGTAATGACCTCCTTCTGACTCCAGCCGAGCCGCTTCCTGCAGGGTGATCATGACCCGACAGGACGGGCACCTGTGCGGTCATCACCTGTGTGGAAGAGTACTGAAATCGTGCCACCGGCCGAATCAGCTTCGTGCTGTGAAGTCTTTTCTTTCCACATGATTCTCCGGCAGGCTCCTCCCACCTCCACAAATGAGGAACGCCACACTTGCGGACACCCGTGGCCCGGAGCGGTCGTGCTCCGGCTGATGAATCTGACCCGACATCCATGAAACATCACTGAGGCGTCACTCAAGTCACTGCGTCAGGTTGATAGTCAGCATGTCCTCCTCCCTTTCTCCTGCGGTCTTCTGCATGCCCCCCTCCTCCTCACCAGCACAACTCCTTTCCTGCGGGAGGGCGTGGCTTGTTTTACGATCCTCGGCTGCACACCTCGCTTTTTATTTTCAGCCCTGCAGCGTTCACACTCGAGTTCCTCGACTTCTCCTCGTGAAGCTGCAGCGTTACCGTCTCTGACGTGACGCTCAGACGGACGATTACACGCAAACGAGGCGCTGAGTCCACATTTCTCTGCAGGGTCACTGCGTCCAGCTTCACCTGTGTCACAGACACATGAGAACCAATGGAAATGCTCCCCCAGCACACAAGAGTTCTCGTCCAATCACCTGCAGGCGTCACCTTTTTTCATCGAAAAGATGACATCACACCTGCACGTGCTAACACGTAGCATCGCCTCCAAACGCCACAGCCAGCTGCTCTCAGACTGGTCGCAGTGTTTCCATGGAAACCAGTTCGAGCCCGTGAAATACATGTCAAATCCAGCGAGCTTCCGAATGTCACGAAAAAACCACTAAAACACGTGGAATCGTTCACAAATCATCAAGTAACTCGTGTCCACCGAACACTGCAGGCTCCTGGATCAGGGCTCAGCGGGCGCTCAGGCGTCCCACCACACGGTGCTTTACGGTTTCTTGTTGAAGGCTGACGTCCGGGCGAGGTCACCGTAAGTCGACCTGGAAGGACGCCGAGGTGGCGTCCGACACGTCGTTTGTCGTCCACCTGAGACCGAACACTGTGTCGGACGGCGTTATTGTTTGGAAGCTGATTGTTCAGTTATGGATGACGTCATAATTACGTTTAATTTGTCAGAACTAAAGTGAAACAGTGTGGAGCACGAGGGCTGCCTCACAGCGCCTCCTGCTGGCCAGCAGGCATATTTGTTTGTTTGCTTTTGGAAAACGGGATTAATAGGAAGTGAAACGTGTGTGTGTGTGTGTGTGTTGTGTAACGGGTGCCTACCCACGACTCGTCCTCTCTGCTCCAGACGGCGTGTGTCGGTGGGCACGCCAGGCCCCGTGCCCTGTCCCCCGGGCTGCTGCTCGGGTTTCGCCCGCCCGCTGTCCGCCCTCTCCCCGGCTTTGTTCTTACCAGCCACCGGGGAGCCTCCTCCTCCTCCGTCGTCTGAAGCGGAGGCTCGGCCCCGTTTCTCCCGCGCCTGGAGCTGGAGCCCGAGCCGGCGGTTTTCCTGCTCCTTCACGGCCGTCTCCAGCAGGAGGCCGTTCAGGCTGGAGCCCACCGTCTTGCTTATTTCCTGGACAGCGAGCTGAACGACCTGCTCGAGCACGGACTCCAGCTGGCCCTGGAAGAACGACATATACACGGCCCCGTTCATGTTTGCGCGCCCTGCGGTGAGAGGGCTCTCTCATTCTTCTGTGCCCCAGCCCACCGCCTTCCCGAGTTCCCGACGGAAATCTGGGTTAAAATCGGCGGCGGGTCGCGGAGCTCCTCCAGCGGCTCTTCGGCGCTGCTGCTGCGGTTGCTGCTGCTCTGTGAGTCGCGCGTGTTCAGCCGCTCCGGAGGAGGCCGGAAAGACCCGAGTAGAGGCGCAGCAGCATTTTCCCGCCCACATGTCTTGGCCCACGCTCGCGCCCTTGCAGTCAGTCACGCCATTTTGGCTGTGAGAAAATAACATCAGTCATTCCCAAACATCAGACTGCAGCCTGCAGCTGACCCGGGACCAGCCTCAGCATCTGCTGCAGCTGCTCATAGACGTGTTCCAGCACACAAAAGCACCATTATTAATTAATGTGAATCCTAAACTCTGTGACCTTATGCATTTAGTGGAGCCGCAGCACACACTGTATATAAAAGATGGCCACAGGCTACTGTTGCCGGTGAGCTCCGTCCTTTGAAGCCTCGCCTCCGTCACCGAGCTGGATCTTGGAGCCCGAAGTGAGGGTGGAGTTATCAACTTATGCTAGCATGCTAGGTGTGCAAGCTGCTTGATCCACAGGGAGCATCACACAGACATATGCTAATTAATGCTAGCATCCCAACGTTATACAAAGGCGGATTCAGGCTTCTGTGGGGAATCTTTGCATCACTGTTGGTATTTCTGCTCATGCTTAGCATTCTGTGTTAGTGTGGTCTTCTATCGCTGATTTAGAAGCGATATCAGATGATGGAAAATAAAATGATAGGACTTCCTCTGCTCCTGGGTCCTCGCTCTCTGGTTTCTCAGGTCAAACATATTTGTCCCTCATGGTTTTTCCAGTTTGCACGTTCCCGACAGCTTCATCAGTCTCTCTGTTCAAGTCACTTCAGGATTACTTATTAGCACCAAATCACAACAACAGTTGCCTGAAGTTGCTTTGGTATTAGTGACTCCTCACGTTGAAGCTGTAATTGTGGTTCTCTGTGCTGATTGTTATTCACAGATAAACTCAAACAGTGGGTGAAATGCTCCTTAGGAAGCGATGCTGCAGACCAACCGCAGTAGCTGCAGTCTGGGTCAACCCGATGTGTCATGAACTTTTTCTGCAGGGTGCAGATGGGCGACCTCCGTGGGGCGTTCCTGCCCGTTGCTGTTTGGCAGCTGGGATGGTGGGATAGGTTTCACCGTGTACTCATCCACAAATAATAACCATGAAGACTGAAACTGCTGAGCAGTGCTAGCTTTGAAACGCTGCCATCTCTGAGTGTTGCACACCAACAGGAATTTTCCCGCCACATGCTTAGTAATCCAGGTGAGACAGAACAGGAAGTTGCTGCTGAGCGTGTCCCTCAGTGTCAGCTGACACATTATAAACAGCACAGCTGCAGAACTGAAACCAGCAGCACTGACTAACAATGAGCCAGCAGCTCGTTTTCATGGTGTTAACGTGCAAACTGTCCCCTCATGCAGGCCACGATCCACGCTCTGTGAGACAGCACATAGCCTCACACCTGCAGTGTTACCATGGTGAAGTAGAGCACCTTTATACGACTGTTAAAGTTTATTCGTTAGACTCAAATCGACCTCTGAGAGGAAGCATCAAGACAAACACATACAGACACACACACTCTCTGATGGATGCATCGGGGAAACTCTGGGTTCTGTATCTTGCCTAAGGGTGCTTCGACATGCAGGTTGGAGGACGCAGGGAGTGAACCCCCAACCTCCTGAGCCCCACCCCAAACATCTTAAATTAGGAGTTAGTAAAATCAGAGGAGCTCGGTGCCTCTGCAGGTGTTCAGGCTGAGGTCGTGCCGGGTTCCTGCTGTGTTCAGGAGCCTGGTTTCTGTCGGTTTTCTGAGCCACATGCGTCGCAGGTTTGCATTGGAAATGAGTCAGCCTTTGTTTGTGCAGTAAAAACAAGTCTTATGTAGGCTCATGAGCTCTGTACACAGAGCTGCCCGTCCACCAGAGACACGCTCACTCCCATTGAAGAGCCATCTTTCTTTTCTGTCGACCAACGAAGCCACTTTCAAACACGTGTTTCACAGAGTTCATAAAGCTTTGACTCAGAGTCACCTGAAGCCTGATCCAAGTGTGCTGCTGAGGTATCTTTAATGTGCCGTCAGAGATGGAAGAATCTTTGTTGTGTATCGATGTGTTAGATAACCAGGACTTTGATCCGATGTCGATATCATTTTCACTGTTAAAGGCAGAAGCAGTGGATATTTGTGTGTTGGAGGGCTGGGAGGAGGTGGAGTGACTCACTTCACCGCTCACATCTGAGGCTCGGTTTGACTCAGACAGCTGACAAATTTTTACACTTAACACGGATTTGAAACAGAACAGACTCAGGATCAGATGCTTTCATGACGACCTGATGCAGATGGGTGTATTTAACTGTCATTGGCTGCTGGGAGATGTGATCTGTGTCTGCAGGTCTGGGTGAGGCCAGCTCCCACAGGCGGGCCCTGCTCTGGTGTCAGGGACCTGCAGGGATGCTGCTTTTGCGCCTTTATTTCGGGATTACGTCACTTACAACATAAGTCCCCCCC